AAAAGAGACTGTCGAAATCCAGATAGTCAGGAAGTCAACGTACATATTTGCACAGCTTGTATTTGCACAGTTTAGACAAATTTCTTGAAGTGTTTTAAGAAGCAGAAAGGACCCAAGTTGTGAAAGGAAAAATTGTAATCTAGCCTTGTGATGAGATAAGATAGGTCTTAGGCTCTTTTTACTCTCCCATTGATGTGGAAGACAATTTTTTTCAAACTTGTCTGAAGATTGCACAACCAAAGCTCTTCTGTAAGCAAAGCAAACTCCCTTCCTCATCACACTTCTGCTTCTGTGGCATCATCTCATAAAGGTTAATATGATGCAACACTGCACAGTGACCTATGCAAGTCATTCAGGGCCCGTCAGCCTTGAATGCACCTTCCCCCAGTTTGCAGGGAAATAAACAAAACACAGGAAAAAAAGCAGCAGTAGACAAGAGAAAGAACAAAGTAGAGACGGGTTTCAGCTCTGACAACTACCTCAGCTGCTGCTGGAATCCTCAGCGAGAATATAATACTTTGGTCAAGGACCTATTACAGTCACAGAATAAAGCCAGTCCCACGGATCCCTCAGGGCAGGTGCTGAGGGTGCCATAGGGCAGGCCCTCCCAGCAGAAACACTGCAGGCATTCATTTAAACTCACATGCAGAACTTCACCCAAAACCCAATGCTTTGATGAGGGAGAAGGGGGAGCTGCCTTTGGTGTATGGCTGGGAAGAGGGCACCAGATGAAATGGGTAGATTAAAGTTCATTTCAGGCTCCCATGTCCACTTATAGAAAGCCACATTGCTATTTGGTCAGCACACCCTCCCACAATGAGCCACATCCAGGACCTTGGAGAGTTGGCCACGTTGCACTCCTTGTGATCCAAGTGTTCTGATCAACCGCGCCCTTTTTACAGAGGGAGAAAGGAGACAGGGCTGGAGAATGTCAACCATTAACTACTGCCACTACAAGCTCCTCTCTGTTCCTTGCTAAAATCTTCTCTATTCTAATAGTTAAAACTCTGGGAGGTACAGGGCCAAGCTACAGAGGACAGTGAGGCAGATCACCACCTGCCTGTATTTCTAACAGGGATCAAATCTCATCTGTAGGGATGGGGAGCCTTCAGCAGATAAAGAACAGCCAAAGAAATCTAGAAGTCAACTGGAGACTGGAAGACAGGAATTCCATAGGACATGCTCCATTTCCACAATGCTTCTAGATTTTCGGATACTGCCTTCCCTAAAGGACAAAAGGTACAGAACAGAGTTATCAGGGAGGCATCAAACAAACACATGCTCGGCAAAAACAGCACTGCAGGCTCACCAGCACAAAAGCAATGGCCATTCACATGTTGCAGACCAATTACACAGGAAAACCCACCCCACCCTTTACCCCAGGCAGATTCTTTCCCCCAATTCAGAATAAAAGGAAAGGACCCATCAGAAGTGAAAGAGAGAGCATCTCCCTGAATTTCATTCACAGCTCATCATCCAGTTTGTCCACTTCAAAAGCCACCACCTAATCACTGCTAGACTGGCATTCCCAGCAGGCTGCAGATATCACCTAAAAGCTCTGCCTCAGGTCGTTTCTGTTATGGAAGCCCTAAACCTCTGAACTCACATAGTAGCTGCATCAGAATAGGGACAGACCTAAAGATCAATAAGGTGCTACATCATTTGCCCCCAGAGGCAGAGCTTAATATGAGGCTGAAGTTTTCTTTCCTCGAAAACCACATCACCACCTTCTATCACCCTGCTAAAAAAGAAAAAAACAGGCAAAATCACTGCAAAAAAATCATTTAACACCCCCACATCTTTACTCCCACCAGCTGCTTGTTTCTCTTTGTCAAAACAGCAAGAACCAGGAACAAGGTCTCCCTCAATAGAAAAAAACCCCAACACTGGTGGTAAAGTAATATAAAGTCAAACCCATAAATGTTCTTTCTTTGTCCGTGTGCAGCACAGTTATACACTTCTCTGCATGCTGCCCATGTCCCTTGCCCATCAAGTGACAACATTGAGATGAACTAATAAGAGACAGATATGCCTAAAACAGTAGGCACAGCAGTCCAGCACGCACTATGGCAGCTGAAGAAGAGAGCTGGTACCCAGCCATCAGACTCCAGCTTATAAATTTCAAAAAGCCATGAGAATTTATGGCTCGTTATTTAAACATCCCCACCACTGTGTTAGTTCTGTCATGCCACAGCACCATGTGCATCCTCATCGCCAAAAGACAGAAGAGCAAGTGTGCTAAAGGAAGGAGCAAGATCTGCTGTTCCAACAAGCACGTACAACCAAATGCTATTACCTCAGGAAAGCGTTTTTTCCCACTGCGGTCATGTCACCAGAGAGAATGAGAGGACAATCTCTCTCCAGTGTAGATGTTAGAAGTCTGTTTAGACCTCTCAGGTTGGTCTGAACCAGGAACTGGAAGCAGCTGATTAATCAATACACCCAAATGGAAGCATGGCCTTATGCAAACGGCTCTCCCCTACCCACCCCTTGTGTGTGGGGCTTCATGCAGACATCCAGCTCTTCCACAAGTAACACTGCTGACATAGCAGGCACACTACTACTGATGGCTGTATTTCAGAAGCATGTCAGACAAATTCCTCCCAATATTCAAACAAATCTGAAGGACATTTCTGTAACACTTCTGCATATTTACCCCAGAACTTAAGCCTGAACACGACTCCCCATATAGATTTTTCCTAGTCTTTCAAGCACTGAGAAGTGAGTAATATTTTAATAACACTACTACAATAATGCCAAAGCATCCAACATGCAAACTCCATTCTATACTTACCCTTACATGAACTTGAAGGAAAAAGGAAAAAGGAATAGAAAAACACCTGTGTATCTTCTTGTTAGAACGCAAAAAAGTAAAATGCTAAGAAAATCAGCAGTGGGTAAACAAGTGAATGTGATCACCTCCTCCACAAATGTTCTAGAAGCTCTCCAGCATGTATTCAAGTGTGCTTAATCTAACCTTTCTTTGTACTTCAGATATCACAGCCAACACATGGCCAGAAACAAGTGAGGTGATTCTAATACCCTACTAGGGATTGTTTGGTTTTTTAAAGGATTTTTAACACCTGGTCTGATTGATTCAATGATTTACTGTTCAGGGCTAACTTTGAACCTAAAGACTACCATCACTCAGCAAACAACGTCTATTATACTCTTTGCCAACACTCCCTAACACACACTCTTTAACTGCAGTCAGGAAAACTGGATGCCTCTATTTCTTCCCACTGCCCAACATCATCAGTAAACAAAATAGCTACTTTCATTCACTGTGATTCTGCATCTCAGGACCCTTGACTATGGGAATTAATAGGTCTTTCCTATGGAGTATGCTCCATAAGAGGAAAGTCTGAGCTTACAAAGAAAAGACTATGTACTGAACTGAAGTCTCACTGTCACGTCAGTTCAACTGCCAGAGCAGTGTGGAGCACCAAAAGTGTAGCCAAAGTTTGCTTTCCACAACCGTTATACTAAACTGCTTCTTTTAGGATGATGAGGATTCCACACAGGCATATAGTACAGGCTGACAGCTTCACTGTTTAGATTTCTTATGCACACTGTTGAGTAATTCCACCTGAATAATTTTTAAAAAGTCTGACAGCAAAACTCTGAGTTACTTATTTGCTAATGCCAAGTTAGATGCCTTCCACTCTAAAGATTCATTTAAAAACACATAAAACCCAGCCCGCTAGAATGGGTGATAAGAGCAAAAAGGAAAGCTTAGATGCACTCAGAGAAAGATAAATATGTTTTCTCTTTTCAAAATGTAAAGCGGTCTCCTTAATTCCCTAGTGGTGTTCTGCAATCTTCAGTCCTTCAGATACCATCCCCAAGCATTCACCTCTTTTTCCCTCAGCAGTATTTAAATAAATACAGAAACACGGGAAGAAGCCTGCATTAGAAGCTACCAGAACTGCAAACCATTCAAATCTGAATGGCAGCCACTCACAGGCTGAATGGTCCAGGGTGATGCACAGAGTCACGTGTAGGGGAGTACCTAGGTGTCAAAGCAAGGGGAACAGGTCCAGTGTATCAGCTAATGCCAGGTTCTGCTTCCCTCTTCTTCATGTCAGGGCTGCAGAGCCACATTCATTCTACTTATGCCTCATTGCATCAGTATTGGCCTATCCGCTTCGTTCAACTGGTATGATTGCGTTTCAGTGCAAGGGTCAAGAAGCTATTTTCCTGATCCTTTCAAAGCTGTGTAAAAATGTATCTCCTCTGAGCTCTAGCTGGCTACAAGAAAAGACAGTCATAGCTTGAGCAAGTGTGGGTCACGGGCCACCCTGACCCACGCTGATGCAAGAGTGCTTGGGGAACTGACCTCACACTAGCCTGATGGAACTTTTCTTTTTTTCAAAGCAACTGCTTTGAAAAAGCAGAGGAACTCTGTATCTACTTTTAAGAGGTATCAAAGTGCTAAAGTCCTTTTCCTCCAGGGCTCAGTGACAATACTGTTTTCAGCAGACAGATAATCTCCTTTGCCCCATCCAGTTGTCAGCGGGAAGAGGATATTGCAGTGTCAAGTCCAAAGGCAACTGCAGATCCGAGGTTTGAAGGACACTGCCTAAAGCATGTTTCTCAGCACTGTGCATTTCCCTCCAGCCCATCCATGATTTTACTAAATCACAACCCTGGACTGGAGATTCACAAACATGGGAAGAGGAGAGCACTGGAGAAGACCCTGAGTCAAACATCTCTCAAATCCAGAATAATATCCAACCCCCATGCTGCCCCAAACTTTGTAGACTTAGGTCCCGCTTGCCTCTGTTGTCAGCATCAGCCCACAGCGGCGTTTTTCCAGGTACCAGCTGCATTTCCCAGCGGGAATTTCCGGTAAGTGCCTCTTATCGCTGCTGCTGCCCTCCTGGCCCCGTGCATCTCTTCCCCCTCCCTGGTTCTCCCCCTTAGCACTCCCAGTCCCCGACAGGTGGGTGACAGCCAGCCCCACATGCCTGGCCAGCCGAGAAGCAGATGCCCATTACCTGGTTCCCAAAGACCGCGATGGAGCAGGCGGTGGAGACTTCGTGGGAGCCAAACCAGACAGAGGCGATGCGCGAGGGCATGCCCAGGATGAAGACCTGGGCCAGGGCACAGATGACCTGCCCCAGGACGGTGACGGGGAAGAGATGCGGCTTCATGCTGCCCAGCTTCACCCAGGCGCCCACAGCATTCAGGGCCGAGCCAGCCAGGGCGACGAGGCGCAGCCCCCTCTTGTCCAGCAGCCAAGCGACAGGGAAGAGCAGGGGGATGTAGACGAGCATGTAGCTCATGGAGAGCCAGTCGATGGCGAAGGCGCTCACGTCGTAGAAGCGCACGAAGACGTTGTTGATGCTGCCGTACTGGATCCACTGGAAGGCGTTGCACAGGGAGTAGCTGCTGAAGAGCAGCAGCACGGCCCAGCGACGCCGGGACAGCTGCACCTCGGCGGGGGCAGCAGCAGCAGCCCCTCCTCCCGCAGCCGACTGACTCCGTGCCCCGGCGGGCTCCTGCAGCACCATGCCGGCACTGCAGGCCGTCCTCGGCTCGGCTCGGCTCGGCTCGGCTCAGGTCCCCGCCGGTACTACCTGACCCGGCCGCCCCCGCCGGGCTCACTGGCGGCCGCCGCACTGGGAGGCGCCGGCGCCCCCGCCCGGCCCGGCCCGGCCCTCCCCGCCCACCGCCCCGCCCCGCCCCGCCCTGCCGCGGGGACGGGAAGGGCCCGGGCCGCTCGGGAGGGCACGGGCAGATCTGCCGTCACTGCCCAGCCCCGCCGAGCGGCCGCCCTGGCGTTCCAAGGGCCTGTGGCACGAGAGGCTGCAGCCGGCAGTGATGAACGGGCTGAGCAGAACTGTGTCCTGGGGGAGACTGTGAGTGGGCTGTGCCCGACCCTGCCAGAGATGCCAGGGTGGAGTCCTGGAGGAGGAACCGGTTTGGGTTTCGTTTGGGTTGGCCTCTGGTTGTTTTTTTCGTGACGTGGCACACTAGAGAGTGAAAACATCCAGTGAAGTGAAAATTAAAACATCCCAACCCAACTGAAGCAAAAGAGCCAAAAGTGATGTTTGTTTCCATCCTCACGGGGAACTCGCAGTTAATGAGTCAGCCCTTGTTTTCCCATTACTTTAGCAACAAGCCACTGGCAGATGCCTGCCTGGAGATCATTTATGATCTACAGTTCATTTAATTAACATCATGTTACCTGAATTGCATAAACATTCCTCAGTGCAAGGGCACAAGATTATTAGTGTTGTTCAGCTCTCTTACAGCATTTAACACAGAGATCAAAACTAATTTGAAAAAATGGCAGCAGTGTCTTTAGGGTGTTGTATTCCTGACAGAAAGACTTGGGTCAGAGAATGAAAAGGTGAAGTTTCTCTCGCTTGTATTTACTTGGTAGCTACATTATAATGTCGCCCTTTTACATACTTGGTGGAACTTGTGGCATGCTCTTCACAGTGGTACAACATAGTCATTATGTAGCCCTTTTACATAATAAATAAGAAAGACACATTCAGAAGCCAAAGTCAGAAAAGAGGTTTTCAGTCCAATTTATTATTAAGTTAGGCAACCAAAGTTACTCTAAGTTTTCCACAGAGACAACAGAAAGAACAGAGTAATTTGTTCTAATAAATTTGTAATTTTATGTTATCAGGAATGCAATGAGTGATATTGGTGCAGAGAGGGCAGAAGTGAAAAAAGAGAGCTGGAAAAAGACTATCATAGTCCAACAGCTGCTTAGTCTGAGAACTGTGAGGTTGTAACAGTAAAATAATGCATAAAATTAACTTTTAGGTTCATCAGATTTGAAAAGGCCTTTACAAAATTCTCAACAATATTATACAGAAATTGAAGAGATAATCATTATCATTGATTAAAGAGCAGTTGAAAAGCAGAGATAAGAAAAGAAATACACAGGCAATTTTTAGGATGGCAAACTGGGTTTGCTCAGAAGACTAACATTTATTAATAATTCCTTAAGCAGAGCAAAGAACAAAATTTGCTGATTTTGCAGACGTTATTGAATTACTAAAGCCTAACTTAAATATGTCACCTACATGTTGCATTTAGTTCTGTAGCTGTAGCTATCTGTAGCTGGAAGTGTTATCACAGTCCATGGCATCTTTAATTTGTAAACTCAGATAAACACAGGATAATGGAGTTAGGTACTGTATGGCATCTGCTCTAATCAAAGGTCTCTGGGCAGCAAAGAGGAAGATATCCAATGCAGTTTTCAGACTTAAGTCACAGAAAAAGAACAAGCAGAAGGAGTATAAAGAAAAAATATTAGGAGTTGAGGAGACACTGACACACATTAGGAAAACACTGACAACAGTTAAATTTCTTTACACGTGACTAAAGAAACAACACACACATAGACAAATCTTTAGCTATATGGGAGACAATTAAGAAACACAAGTTTGATCCTTTACCTCCCACCAGCCCTACTCCAGACTGGGGTCAGAAACAGTCTATCATCTTGTGTTTTGTTTTAGCCCCACCTTGAGCTCCTAAATTTCTCTTAAAAATCCTTTTATTCATTACCAACATAGTCTGTAGCAAGTCAGAGCCTGCCAAGTAAGGAGTCATTTGCTCCAATGTCTTAATCCTATCAGAAAAGTAAAATGGTAAATCAAGAATGACTAAAACACAGACCCTGCTGAAAATAACACCTGAAACTAGATGCATGAAAGTGCCCAGCCTGTCAATTGATTTTGAGCCAGACAGGGAAGCAACCCTGGCTCCCCAAAGCCTATTCAGACAAGTATTTTTCATACCTATAGGCCTACACTTCCCAGAACTCCTGTCCTCTGATTTCAAGGCTGATTTGTTTTGTTTCTGGTTCTGTGAACTGTTCAATCACCCCTTTACAAAATTTGCCAATTTCCGGACTAAAACAAAATCCCTGTGCTTTGCAGTTCTTCCTCTCTCCATTGCCACATCTGTTTCTACTCACATGAGCCTCTTTTCCTTCTTGAAGCAACAGAGCAGCTGCTTTTGGATTTCCCTCATCAGAGCATCTTTATATAAAAATTTCGTAGCTATGAAAAATTATTTATATTTCAGGACGACCCCTTGAATTGGATTTTAAAGCTAGAGAGAAATCTCCTTTACATGGAGATAAACATAAGTGCTAAAAAGCTTATAGAATCCTGTAGCCAAAAGTATCTGTGAAGGTTGGAAGGCATTAAACCAGAGGCAGAAGAAAGACCCACATTAAATGTAATGGTACAGGCCATCAGATAGAACCTAACCTCTCTGTAATCTTCTTCCCTACTGATGTCAAGAAATCCAACATCTGACTCTCTTGGAATATATGCTGCCTTTATGACCAATGAGTACATGAAATTCCTTTACGTTCTGTAAGGACTGAAGAACTTGCCTTCCAACAAGCTCGTTATTCTCAAAGCCCACCCAATAAGTATAAATGCTGGGGATGATGATGGCAATGATAATCCAGCTTCCTGATTTCTGCATGGCAACGGGGCTCAATGACAAGCAAGACAATATGAATGGGTGTGGAAATTGGCTTGGAAGTTGTGCAGAAAGCATCATAGAAAATTATTGTGAAAAGAATAATTCCTTGATGTCTTTTCTACCCCATACTGGATCAGAGGTCCAAGGAGTAGGTGGACAAAAAATGAAAGTTGCTAGGGAAAAGCAGGTATTTGAGGATCTACTGAATCTTCCACTTATGCAGTTCTTTAGGCTCCATTTAAATGTGAAGTATCTAAGCTCAAAGGATCACAGGATGTCCCTTGCTTTCAAACTTGCAGCCTTGTGATTTCTGTCTCTAAATTTCATCATTGCACTTACAAAGCCTAACTAGTGCAGCTCTTGGGCAGCTCTATTGCATTTTGACTGATAGCGTTTAGGTCTAGAGGAGCTGTCAGCAGATATCCCATACAACCTTTCACAACAGACATCACAGGGTTAGTGGAGGGAGAAGGTTTCATATTGGGTTCAACACCCAAACTGCTTTAGTGGAATTCTTCAGAGGTTAGGTAGTTGTACCATAAGACCAAATGGCAAGACTCGAATAGCTGGCAGAGCCACTTACTTCTGGGTCACACTTGGATGCAGTCCTCAGCTGGAGACACACGGTGCAGTCCGTGGCAGGGCTGCGGCGCTGAACAAAGCCAGCAGTGTTCCCCTACGGAGCAGGGAAGGCTGCGAGCCCTCTGCTGGCACCTATAGCTTTCTGCATCCCAAGTGCCACCAGAAAGCAGGACCCAGTATACAGCTTATAAATGCCGTGGGTTAGTTTATTACTGTAGATTAGATACACCCTAAACCCTTAAGAATCTTTCCTGTTACATTTCTAGTGTAAAGATCTGGGTACATAGGCAGTGATTAACAACTCCACTCATTACAATGCAGCATGCAACCTCTTCAGCACTCAAAATTTTGTAAAAATTACCTTCCTCTACACAAAACACAATGGCTTGGTTGCACACTCTAAAATCTCATCTAGAGAAGACTGCAGACCTCAGAACCATCAAAGTTGTGCAGGGGCTAACTTTGAGCACCAAACCTATCCTGTTCAAAGTTTAAGGCCTTTCAAAAGTATAACTCAAGGAAGGGAAATAATGTTTTGCTCCCCTTCAGCATATTTCATGTGTAGCTCTTGCTCTCTAAGAGCTTTACTGGGGACGCATCACCTATGTCTATTTTACAGGGGCACAAGGAGTTACGGTAATTTGCCTGGGTGGTTTGCCTGTGGTCCTGCCAGGGGCGTGACTGTTTTTCCAGTTTGATACCTTCCAGCCTGGGCTGCAAGGGCTTTCCCAACAGCAGCCTGAAATACCACCTCTTTGCAAATCCAATCTCCCTGTTCAAAGCCTGGCTTTAACACAGCAATGGCCTTAATTTAACTCTGTCTAGTTCAGGTGTGATGTTTGTGTGACTAAATCATGCAGGTCTGAACTGCAAAGAGTACATGGGAAGGCATGACTGAAGTGCTAATTCACTGCTGCCTTTTTGCAGCAAGAAAAAGGTGTAAAAAGGAGTGTGCAGTATGGAAGAGCACTTGCATGCATGGTACCTCAGAAGTGCCAGTTTTTGGTTAGTGCACACCTCTCCAGACTCAGGGCAGTTACGCTACCTCTGCATGGCTTTCTGCAAACAGATATCAACTTGCTCTGCCCCATCTCTGGTCTGGCCGGATGAGAACCGGCTCTAATCCAAAAACTGTGTAACTGTGGTTAGTCTGCTGTGCTTCTTGAGCATCTCAGCCCAGCTCTCAACTCTTGCTTTTGAAAAGCTACGGAGATATAGGCAGCTGTGTGGAAAGCTGTGCATAAGCTCTGTCGTTGGAGCAAACCCACCTCACTCCTCTGCTGTGTACCAGGCACACACATGAGACATGAAAATCAGAATAAAAGAAGTGAAAAAGATCTAGTTAGACTCAAAACTTAGCCACAGTCTAGATTTTCATCCCCAGTCCAGATCAGGGTCACAGATTAACCCCAAATACCAAAGCTCTAAGTTTATAAGCCCTTCTTACTCAGCATTCTCCAGCCTCCATTTCAGTGAGTCATATTAGTTCATGCCAATGACATAAAAAAAGGTTTTCATCTTCTATTTCTTGCAGTTGACATCAATTGATAATAAAAGAGTGCTGGAAATGTGCATGGTCTCACTGCTGAACTCAGGCATG